TTGCTATGGCCAGCCTCAGTGGTGTGGTGCTGAGCTGGGAGAAGAGGTTCTTGTCCTGGGCAGTATCTGGACCCTGGGAACCAAAATGAACCTACTGAGTTTCCTGTGAAAAGAGCAGAGCCGCCCCGTTCAGACTGTCATGAGACCACAAGGCCCCATCAGCCTGGTGGCCTCTTCCCACCTTCCTGCTCTAGGTACACCGACCCAGCCAGAACCTGAAATAGTCATAAAATATTATATTTGGCTACCACAAATGTCATATGACCAAAGCCTTAACTTATCATGTAGACTAATAAAAAGCATCATTTGATATTAAAGTTACAGTATCAGTATTGTCTGCCAATTCTCTTTTCTTATTTTATTTTCAGCTAAATTAGAAGAAGAATGTGGTAAGTCTTATTCGGCATTTTATGTCTCACTGGCTCATTGTGTTTAGGAAGGTACCTCCACAGGTAAGCCATGAACGTGACAATCTCACATTTACCCAGGAAATTGGCTGATCTGATGAACCCGGATGAACTGTGCTTCTGCCCTCAGTGGCCGATTCACAGTTCTGGGGACATCACAGTTTCAGGGAAGAGTAGCTCCAGGCGCAGCATCCCTTCACTAGAGCCCCTGGGGCAAGACATTTTCCCTTCAGTCGATGCCCTGCCCAAACAGAGAGCTGGCCTCTCCCTAGGTACCCACCCCATGGACATAAGAGGGAAGAGGCTGCCCACAAGTTCCCCATCCCGTTGAGGAAGGAGGCTGCCCACCAGTTCCCACCCTACGGATGGCAGATACTGCCCACCAGGCCACCACCCCATGGAGGGAGGAGGCTGTCCACCCAGCTTGTGCCATGCCCAGCTTTCCCAGAGCTGTGCTTGCCGTGTCCTCCAGCCCTTGAGGGCACTTCTGCATTACAAAGAGCACAGGACATTCCTGAGGGCTCACACACAGTGTTTCTCATCTTGGACTTGAGGAGAAATTAAGATTAAATGATCTTGGCCTGGATGTTTTCCCAGCACACCTCACTCTGGCTGCAAAGTCCTGTTCAGGTTTTTCTCTTTTTTACTAAGAGAAGGTATCTGTCAAATGAAGTTCATCACATGTGCCTAAGCCCCATGTCCCCCTGGTGCAACATACGCCTCAGGCCCCCAGTCCAGAAACAACTCCACATCCATTTACATTTCCAGTCTGTCTGCTCAACTGATCTGAGCAGAAATGAATTAATATCTGGTTTAAATAAGGAAAATATTTTAATGGATTTTGCCAACAATGCAAAGAACCAGATCTTCTGCTATCACAAAACAAGAAACCTGACCACTAAAGAAGCAAAGCATTTAACTTTAGTGCTTAACTGTAGTTGGACCACAGAACAGCTGGGTTGTAGCTCCGTGGTACAGCTCTTGCCTGACATGCACAAGGCCCTGGCTTTGATCCCCAGCACTGAAAAACAGAAGGATAAAAAAAATCAAGCAAAGATATTGCTAAAGAAGTAGTAGAAGGGATGAGTCAGGAGAGGTAGACAGCACTCAGGGCATGAAATCCTCACATTTTTCCCCTGGATGGTGAACAAAAGGTAGAATTCTGAATAAAGAGAGACTGAATCTGCTGAAATCACAGGAATTCCATTTCCACCATTGGGGTGATGATCATGGAAAATACATAACAATTTTGGGGAGAGTGTGGAGACAGGGTGCTCCCCCCACTGCTGGTTTGGCCATTGTGAAGACACCATGGAGATTCCAATAGGTAAGAGGGGGTCTAGTGTGTGACTATGCTGTCCCTCCTCTGTGTCTGTACCCTAAGGAGGTGACATCACCACCTCCTAAGGCTATCCCATGATTCAAAACAGCCAGGATATGGTGACTATTTGGGTGTCCATTAGCAGAGGATGTGACCATTCCCCGTGTGCTGGCACATATGCACAGTGAGATATTCAGCCTTGAAAGAGGAGAATCTGATGCTCATGATCCAGGTGGACCACAGTACCGGGGGACTTTAGGCTGAATGGAGTAGACAGAAGGAAAGTGCTGCCTGGTCTCATTTCTATGTGGAATCTAAAGCAGAGACATCAACTACACAGATAGAGAACCAAACAGGTTTTGAGGAGCAGGGAGAAGAGAGGAGGGGGGGGATGTTTGTAAAAGGAAAAAGAAGCAGGTGAGCAGAGCCCACACGTCTAGAGATGTGGCCTGCAGTGAGGGAGCTCCGGCTGGTAAAATCAAACTGCTAGCAATGTTCACCAAACGGCTTGATTTCAGCTGTTGCTCTCACAAGTCACTGCGATATGTCTGCTGATTTGCTTCACCACAGCAACTCTTTAATTGTCTATATGTATTTCATAGCATCACATTGTAAACCTAAAATACAGAAAATGGAACTTTTTAGAAAAATCAAAATGCAGACTCTTGGCTATATAATACACTGTCACAAGCAAGAGAGGACATCAGAAGACCAGAGGAGTATCCTCCACAGAGATGAGGGAGACTGGCAGGAGGTGAGGTGTTGGGAGGGGATGCCAGCCTCTGAGACCCAGGACCAGGCAGGCCAGGAGGCCCCAGGCAACCAAGTGAGGGCCAGGGAGGCCAGGAGAGGAGCCGCTGGGTCTCCCTCCTGCTGCACAACCAGATGTTGGGTCCACAGAGATGGTGAAGAGATCCCTCATGGAGTGCAATTCATTAATCTCTGGATACATTTACACCCACACATTTTAACATGGTTGTGTCAGGGTGATGGCTACCTCATGGGATTGTCTTAACTTTCTGTCTAATTCTTTGATGAAATAAGCACTTGTTGCTTTAGCAATACTACCCCGTATTTATAATTAATCAAGAAGTAAAACCTGTGCAGAAGTGCTGGAGAGGCCGCCTCTGTTCCCCCGGGCACCCGCCTCTGGCATGAAGTTACAGCTGGCACCTTGCAGGTCAGTTTCCCTGTACCTGGACACATGGTCACTCTCATCCCAGTGACCCTAGTACAGGAAATCGCTCTCAATCTAATGCAGAGACTCAGGAAAACATGCTAGTTGGGCAGGAAACTTTTGGAATCAACTCAGGGATCCATGACTAGAAACAGAACCAAGGCAGCTGTCACTGAAGGCTGATAAGAGAAGGCCTCGCTACGTAGGCTTCAGGAGCAGGTGGTGAGGTGGGGTGCAGCCAGAGACCCCGCACATGGTGGGCTTTCAGTCTTTGGGCCTCACACTCCAGAGCTCTCACCTGATGTCCACCAACATCCTCCAAGACCCAGAGAGCCATGACCTAGGATTAAACATCTGGGAATTTCAGAAATTCATACTTTTTTACCTCTTTCTTTTTTAGGTAGAGTCAAAAAAGAACTCGGTAAGTTGTGTTTCTCTGGTGGGTTGAATTCAGAACGAGCCGGCATCCCTCATGACATTGACCTTGCTCTGTTATTTCTTGCAGCACATAGAAAATGCCTTGCGGAAGCTGGTAAGTAAGACCAGTGACCTCACTGCTGACCTGCTGTACCCCCACCCTGCCCAGTGTCTCAACTAACTGTGCATGTCTCTATCTCATTTTAGAACTAAAGAAGATTCAAAGATTTGCAGGTAAATATGATGGGGGAAAAATGTGTGGCCAGGATGACTTTTGCCTTGCCATCTAACCTCTCTGAATTACCTCAGAAGATAAAAAGATTTTGCTCAAATAATCCATAAGACACATTTCAACTCTCAAATAACTTGATTCTGGAAATATGAACTTGATGGTAAGTAACCAAATTACTGTCTGGGAAAGATCAATTTAGGAAACTGCCTTAAACGAATGCACCAGGTGTGCCCAGCAGAGCTGTGGTGGGACCTCCTCATTCTGAAACGCAGCTTCTAAATCTGGGCAAGAAAAAGTCCTCACTGTCCTGATCCCACCCACACCACCACCGCAGATCCTCCAGAGCCAGAGATGATTGATGCAGTGGGGATTTGGTCGCTGTCCCCTCTGCTCTCAAAGCCTCCGCCTGTCAAGTCCACACCCCCTCTGCCACATCCTCATGTGCCATTTCCTCCTGTCTGCAAACAAACACACGCAGGAGATTCACCCACGATCTCTCCTGACGCAACACCTTGGTGCCTCCTGTCACATTTCCTTTCCTTTACAGTAACACTTCCCTGAATAGTTGTGAATACACGCTCTCTCCATTTTCCACTCTCTGATTTCTCTCCCTCTTATCCAGAAAAAGGCCAAGATCCCGAGCATGATCTCTCTTCCAGAGGCAAGGGCCAGTGTCCTGCTCTTTGGGCTTTCTCCTGGCATTGTCCCTCTGAAACATCCCTATTCTCCTGCTTTGCTTTGCCTACACCCCTGCCAGGCATAATAGTCCTGGGGCAGACATGGCAGAGGCACTCTGAGGTTGCTTAAGACCGGTCCCAAGGTGAGAGCAGTGTCCAGTCTCAGCCCTGCCCTTGCACCTGAGGGTAACCCTGCAAATCCCTTTCAGGTTGGGGTCTCTGGAGATGTCATCTCCCAGGAGGAGATTTGGGGATGGAAGACACCACGGGCAAGTGTGTACTGCTGGGGTCTGTGTTGTCTCTTTGGATCTCTAAAGGACCCTCCGAGGCCATGCGCTTGGCCCTTTCACACAGGCACACTGCTCTCTGAGTTGCCTGACAGTTAATGGGTACACTTTCTTCCCCTACAGCAGACATAACACTGGATGCAGCCACCGCTCACCCTTACCTGGCCGTGACAGATGATGGGAAATGTGTGACATATGTGCCCGAGAGGCAGGACGTTCCCGACAATCCTGAGCGATTTGACACACTGGTGGGCGTGCTGGGTCGGAACCGCTTCTCTGGTGGAGATCACTACTGGGAGGTGGGAGTGGCAGGCAAAAGCATGTGGGCCGTCGGGCTGTGCTTGGAGTCCGTCAGGCGGAAGGGCCAGTATACCAAGGCCTGTCCTGAAACTGGCTTCTGGATTCTTCGCCTGCAGAACGGCGAGTGCTCAGCTTTTGCCACACCCCGCACAGTGGTTACCCGAGAACCCCTCTCACGGCTGGGGGTTTTTCTGGAGTATGAAAAAGGGTTGATCTCTTTCTACAATGTCACCGAGTTTGTCATTCTCTTCACCTTCAAGAGCAACTTCAAAAGTGAGCCACTGAGGCCTTATTTCTACCCTGGGACTGTCAGTGCCGAAAAGACGAATGGCCTTAGCATCCTGAAGGTGTGAGCGGTTACCTGCAGGTCCCCACAGCACAACTACACCAGGCCACAGCGGCCAGCCACAGGGACCACGGTGGTGCACAGGCATGCCCCTCCTGGATTCTGAAGAGCAGGGTGCTGGCAGTGTCCTGCATGCTCATTCTCAGCTTTGTGGGAGACTAGGGGCAATCTTCATTGATCCTCTTGGTCCCCAGGCCCTCCTGAGCCCCTTTCCTGTGATTTATTTGGGCTTTAATAAATAACAAGTTCTCCACTTCTTCCTGGATTTGAGTTTGAAGTTCTGAAAATAGTTGGCAGATTCCTTAGCAGAATCAGTGCTGTGCACTTCTCATCACACAACACACAGACTGGAAGGTGTTTCTCTGTCACTGAGGATAAGCTGTGGACTTTTCAACACCACATGCTAATGACTTTGATTGCCATCACCACACCAGAATCAGTATCTTGAACATGACAACACATTTAATATTACCGAGTAAAACCGAGTACTGTCAACAACAGACTAACCCTTTGCAGGTGGCCTGCGGTGCTGTAGGTGGTCTCCCCTGTGGGGCTGTAGGTGGTCTCCCCATTTGCAGGTGGCCTGAGCTGTTGTAGGTGGTCTCCCTGTTTGCGGGTGGCCTGTGGTGCTGTATGTGGTCTCCCCTGCACTGCTGTAGGTGGTCTCCCCATTTGCAGGCTGCCTGTGGTTCTGTCGGTGGTATCCCCTCAGATCCTCTGTCACATGGCTCTGAACTGTGTGTCCCAAATGCAGCCGATGCCCCTCTGCCTGGTCCATGCTGTGAAGCATGTGTCACCACACATACACAGCACTGCACAGTCTGGCTGATTAAAGGTAAAGAACATGAGGCTGTAAAGGAAACTAAACTCACATCTCTGGTACAGTGGCTTTGGGAAAATGCCATTTCTTTACAACTGTGATCAGCAGTGTCACTCTGAGAGACATCCTCTACAGGACTGAGTGTACAGGTGTCTAGTGTCTTGCACATGAGTGTTTATAGGAACTTTATAAAGAATAATGAAAAACGGAAATCAACCTAAGTGTGGTTTATGAGAACACAACTTCAAGGAGAAAAATGCATACATAGACCATGTGTGTTTATATAGTGGATGGTGTTGGACAGCTAAAAAGAACCATTGACACGAAAATATGAATGAGGGTCCAACATGTGCTCAGCAAAAGAAAATGGACACTAAAGAGTGCATACTGTTGACCTCTCTGTAAATTCTTGAGGAGGAAAAGCAGGTCTGTGGTAAAGAAATCAGGTGATGTGCAAGGCACTGACTTTGATTCTCAGCACCACATATAAGTAAATAAATGTCCATCAAAAACTAATAAAATATTTTTTAAAAGCTTAAAAAAAAAAAGAAATCAGGTGACCGCCTACTGTTGAGGGGGGTTGCTAAGTGGACACCCTGAAGTAGGGAAATGTTCAGTTGTCTCTGGGGGAGGTCTTGAGGACCTATTGGTGGGATGAAATCACTCTTTGCACCTCTTTCACCAGCTCCTGCAGCCTGGCTGCCTTCCTCCAGGGTAGCTCCCAGGCTTCTGCCTTCCTTCTGCATCATTCCCTTGCATGGATGTCCCCTGCTGGATGACAGGCTGTGGCTTAGAGATTGCAGGAGAGAAGAAGTACACAGCATCCAAGGCCTGTCCCAGACCTCATCCTGGCTTTGTGAGGACCTGTAGGTGGTCCTGCGCAGAGGACTAGGAGGACAGGAGCAGAGGCCTCCTGCTGGGCATGGGGATGTGACCCTCTAAGGTGGATATTCCACTCCAAACAACCCTATGAGACTCAGCCAGTCCCCAGCCATACTCCTCAACCCTGAGCCACAGAAAGTTGGCAGAAAGTGGGGGTGGTCTCTGAAGTTTGGTGATGCAGCATTGATCAAATAATACCAGATTCATGTCCATCGTACGTGAATGGTATGAGCTCACAGCAGATCTAGGAGCTCCCCTTAGTAGATGTGCTCATTGCCCTGTTGAGGCGAGCATTCTGAAATGCGTTTCATGCATTCTAGTCTTTAAACTATGAGTGAATAGATGATAGGAACAAGGAGAGACTCAGGCTTCTCACAGTGAGAAAGAGCGGCTGCCCGTGTACACAGCAGGAAGGGGCTGCGCTGCCCACAACCCACAGCTCTGCGAGGAGAGCGAGGCAGGGTGTAAAGGCCACACGTGCACACACAGTGCTCCCGCCTTGCACTGGGATTTTGTCCCAACAGCCGTCACAGACTAACACATGGTAAGTGCAAGGTGCTCTGGATGCACAGCCCTCTGAGCCCCCCCTGCTCAGCAGCAGAAAGCACCGTGGGGTGTGGAGGGCTCGCCTGCCTGGCCCTGGGCTGACCGAGGGGCGGCTCACCCCCCTGCCTAGCGCTGGGAGAGGGCATGGATCACATATTGCTCGCCCAGAAAGAACCAAAATTCAAATATAAACTACAGACCAGTGGGCCTAAGTATAAACACACGCTCGTGTGTGTGTGTATGTGTGTGTGTGTGTGTGTGCGTGTGACAGTGCACGGGCCTATCGTCTGAATGGAAGGTCTGGAAGCACAGACAGCTGGATGCAGTGCTTGCTCTTGGTCACCAGGTCTGGATTTCTAAATGTATTTCTCCACTAGAGGAAACAGGAGTCTTTGGAGGAGAGGAAGCTTCTGGGAGAGAGAGGTCAAGCTTAACATGAGCCTGCCCTCTTTCTGCTCCCAAAAATCAAGCTGGCAGGGTATGACAGGGACATGGCTAAAGGACCCGCTGGACAGCCTCTGTCTTCACCCACTCACACCACCCTAGTAACATGGCTCAGACTGGATGATTTATTTAGACATATAAGTGTATTTCTCACAGTTCAGGAGGCAGGAAGTCCAAGGAGCCCACAGGCTGGGTATCTGATAAGGGCCTGGTCTCTGCTCTCTGTTGGTGCCTTGTGTCTGTGTCTTCCAGACTGTAAGAACACTGTGTGCTCATATCTAAAGAGGGGGCAAAGGTCGCTTAGAAGGAGGGGGCCCAAGGTCCTGTTTATCCCATTGCCAGTCACTCACCAAAGCCCCACCCTTGAAATGGACACAGTGTGTATTAAATTCTAACATGTGTGCTCATGGGGATGAAACTGTCCAAACCATAGTATTCCACCCCTGGGCCCCAAAACGGACACCCTTCTCATATGCAAAATACCTCATCTCTTTCCAATGGTCTCCCAAGGTCAACGTGTCCCAGCACCAACTTCAAGTCCAAAATCTCCTTTAAATGTCATCTGAATGGCAGATGCGTAAGGCTCAAGATGTGGTTCATCCTGGGCAGACTCCTCTGCAGCAGTGACCCTGTGGGAGGGAGAGGGCTGCAGGCTCACCCAGCGCAGAAGTCTTTTTTGGGACAGCACAGGGCACACAGAGTCAGAGGCAGAAATCAACAGGTCAGAGGTGGGATCTGGAGGCTAGACTTAGTTGGGAAACTTCTGGACACACTTTGTGGGCTTTGGGTCCCCCATGCCAAAGGCAAGAAAAAACAAAATTGTAAGATACTGAATTCCAATCACAAAAACAAGAAAAACAGTAAAGTCGAAAATAGAAGCAAAGAGCAAGAGCAAGAAATAGAGACACTGCTAACTACTGTAGACATTGCCAACTATGCCCACAGTCACCTCAAACATCAATGTTCTGATTACATCAATTAAGAGACAAAAATGCCCAGATGACCATCAACAGATGAATAGATAAAGAAATGTCATTTATATACACACTGGAGTTCTACTCAGCCCTGAAGAAGAATGAAACCATGGTATTTGCTGGTACATGGAACTGGAGACATCAACCTACGTAAAATAAGGGAGACTTGGAAAGTCAAGGGTCAGATGTTGTCCCTCATTCATGGAAGCCAGAGAAAAGTAAGGGGTTGAAAGGGGTGTCCCATGAAAATAGAAGAGATCAGTAAGTAGAGGAAGGGGACTGAGGTGGAGGGGCCGATGGGAAAAGGGAGGAACAGGGCCATGAAATCCAACAAACTGTCCTAAAAAAATATACACCACAGTGCATTCACCTTCATATAAAACACAGAAGTAAGTAAAAGGAAGACCAAGGGAGTAGAGGAAGGGAATAGGAAAGGGAGGAGGGGAGGGAAAAGGAAGTACTGGGGACTGAGTTGGGGCAAATTATATTCCATGCTTGAATATTTATGTCAAAATAAATCCTAATGTTAAGTGTAACTATAATGCATGGCTAATAAAATAAAAGAAAAAAATACAGCCCAGAAAGAGGCTATCCAAATGGTGGCAAGAAAGACAGACAACAGAAAACTCTAAAACAACAAAATAAACATACACACACACAAAAAAAAAAAAAAAAAGAAAGAAAGAAAGAAAAGATCCACACAAAAATTGTCAGAATGGATCAGAAAGCAAGATCTAAGTGTATGTTGGGAAGAAGTCCATTTACAATGTAAATCTCATGCAGCTCAAATCAAAGGGTGGAGAAAGACTCATGATGCTGACACCAATCAGAAGCATCAACACCTATGTTGGTTTCAGATGTAGCAGACCTCAAAGTGAGGCAAGATGGAAGGGACCAGAAGAGCCATGCATAGTGACCAGAGGCTCCGCTCTCCAAGACACAGAAAAAGCTGACAGAGTGCAAGGAAAAGTCGATACCCCCACAATTATAGTTGGAAACTTTACCACCCCTCTACAGAAAGACCTGTTAATTTTGAAAATTTTGTGGATTTTCCTCTTACCAGGAATAGAACCCAGGGGTGTTTAACCACTGAGCCACATCCTCAGCCCTTTTTTATGTTTTACTTTGAGACAGGGTCTCACTAAGTTGCTTAGGGTCAGACTAAGCTGCTGAGGCTGGCTTTGAACTCGTGATCCTCTTGCCAGAGCCTCATGTGATGCTGGGACTACACCCACCATTGCTCCCCACTTATCATCGATTTCTAACTTTATCAGGTTGTATTAGTAGAAGATACTTTGTATATTTAATATCTTTTAAAATCAATGGACACTCAATTTGTGGTCTAACATACACTCTGTCCCAGGAATTATCCCAAGCACACTTGAAAAGAATGGAAATTGTGTCATAACTCGTTCATTTCCTGTGCTGCCCAAGTCCACTGCTTCTCAACTTTTCTGCTGTGAAGCTATCCTGTCCATTATTGAGAT